TGTGTGTGTGTGTGTGTGTGTGTGTGTGTGTGTGAGAGAGAGAGAGAGAGAGAGAGAGAGAGAGAGAGAGAGAGAGAGAGAGAGAGAGAGATCATTATGCTTGTAAATGTACTTACCAAATCTGCTGCCGTTCGAAGACAATGAGCGACAATGCTGGTGTTCGACAACTCGATTATCTGTTCCTGATTGCTACGACTTTCTCCTCTCCTTTGGGGACTCTGGGCGTTCTCTTCCCTGGGACCGCCTGCAGGCAGTGCATGGGCGGCATGATGGGCCTTCCCACTAGCAACATCTGTCACAGCCAGGGCCTTTTCAGGTCCTCCGCTGACCTCATTGATTCCGCATGCAATCGGAGCCGTGAAAAATGGATCAATGTCGTTCAAGGCTTTGGCAGCAGCTTGGGCAGAGTCAAGATGACGGCGCGCACGATACTCTTCGCCGCCATTCTTGTTGATGACGTCAACCAGCTCGGTTTGCCTCGCCTGACTGAGTCTGCTTGGAACAATCTGTTCCAGTTGAATCTCTTCACCGTTGGACGGGACGATCCTGAATCCCGACCCCGACTGTTTTTTGTCAGCTAACTGACAGAACTGACGTTCTCCGCTCTCGGACTTGCCGGACTGAGACTGTTTTCCCTTGCCCGACTCACCAGACCGACGTTCGCCGCTCTCAAGCTCGCCAATGCCACCAATGTCCGCACAACTGCCGCACGCTATTGGACCTTCTGACATGCTGACAAGGTCGGTATACCAGGAAAGGGACCTGTGGTGGCCATCGTCTCTTTCTGCTCTTGAGCCGCCGGTAAGGACCAGCTCCTTTGCTTGGACTTGGGCGATTCTGGTTGGAATAGCCGCCTGTGCTGTTTCTTCTGCTGATGGGCCAGTCGAGGGCACTGCATCAGTGTCTTTATTTGGCAAGTCGATCATTATCGGGGCATCCCTTGTATGTATCAGGGGACCAGAGACCGGTGTTTGCTCTGCCACTAGTCTGTCCACTTCTCTTGCTTCTCCCAACGTTGATTCCTCCGCTTGCTTCTTGTCATATTGATCTGGTGGTCGACTGCATGGATCAGCATTGCGCACGCCAGTGCTTTGTGTTTCTTGCCCCATCAATACCTCCTCTCTTTCATCATGTTGTTCCTCAAGCGTTTCCTCCTCCTCCTCCTCCTCCTCCCCCTCCTCCACCTCCTGTACAACCCCCCTTCCCTGATCCTGCATCACTTCCTTTCCCACACCCCCTACTTCTTTCTCCGTCATCTCCTCTTCGCCTTTGTCGTCGCTTCCCCCATGCCTCTGCTCCTCCTCCGACATACTAGCTGTTTCCTTCCCAGCAGCTCCCTCCACCGTTTCACCATTTCCGCCCTCAGCCCTTTGATCCTCTTCCTCCTCCTCCTCCTCCTCCTCCTCCTCCTCCTCCTCCTCCTGTGTATCCCCCGCTACCACCTCCCCCCTTACTCTTGTTCCCAAACCATCCATTTCTTCGTCCATTGCTGCTTCCTCCCTTTCTTCCTCTTCACCTTGGAGCCTCTGCTCCCCCTGTGACACAGTCTCCGTTTCCTGCCACATCACTGATTCGTTCCTATCGTGACTGTCCCGCTCAGCCCTCTCCTCCCTCCCTCCCCCCTGCACATCCTCTGCCATCATCTCTTCTCTTACTTCCGTTTCAACACCCCTCCCTCCTCCCATCACCTCTTCACCCCCTTCCTCTCCAAGCCTTATCTCCTCCTCTCCAGGGATAATCTGGGTTTCCTGGCCCAGCACTGCCTCCCCTAATTCATCGTCAACCCTCTCCTCCTCCCCCCCCCCCTCCTCTTCAGGGGTTACCTGTGTTTCCTGCCCCATGACTGCCTCCTCCATTTCATCACCTTGCCCCTCAACCATCTCCTCTATCCCCTCCTCCTCTCGGGGGATCACCCGTGTTCCCTGCCCTACCACAGCGTCCATTTGCTCGTCCTTTCCCTCCCCTGCCGCCGTTCCCTCCGCTTCTTCCGCACCTCCTTCATCCTCCTCCTCCACCACCTCCAGTCTCATAGACCTCACTCTTGTGTCTTCTGCTTCGTTTCTCTCATCCAATGTCAGTTCATCGCCCTTGAGCTCTTCTCCCTCTGACACGTCCAATCCCTCTGCCCATTTACCGTCTTCCATTTCTTCCATCTCATCTTCTTCCCCTTTCCCGCCCTCCAAACCCCGTGTCTCTTCATCCCCATTTTTTGGTTCCTTCTCCCCTTCTTCGTCCCCCGTCTTCTCCCCACCATGTTCCTCCCCATCCACCTCCTCCTCTTCGCCTTCCTCTTTGCCTTCCTCTTCGCCTTCCTCTTCGCCTTCCTCGTTGCCTTCCTCTTCGCCTTCCTCTTCGCCTTCCTCTTCACCTTCCTCTTCACCTTCCTCTTCGCCTTCAAACACCTTCCCACTTTCCTCTCCGAGTGAGCGGTTCTCTGAGTATTCCTCCTCTCCAGCCTTGTGCCCGCCCACTCCCAAGTCTTCCTCCTCCTCCTCCTCCATCGCTTCCGCCTCCTGACCAACCATCTCGTCTCCCTCCTCCACATATATCACCGCAGCGTTTTTTCCTTCCTCCTCCTCTCCCACATCTTCTCCCGCTTTTCCAACGTCCTCATTTTCACTCTCCCCCACATCAATCACCTCAATCTCCCTTTCAGAGCTCTCCTTCTCTTCCTTACCTTCTCCAACTCCTTCTCCCTCACCACCTGATTTGTCTGTCTGCGAGCCCACTGGATGATCGTACGAAGCCAATTCTTCAGTTTCTGAGAGAGAAACTGGGTGCGCAGCAGCACCTGCATCTCCAACAGGAGAGAAGATACTGACAGCCGATTCCTTTCTCTCATCTGCAGCTGCGGCGGAGTCGCTGCTTCGAGTGGGCCTTTCAGCGCGCGCCTCCTCACTCACAGGCACTCTCTCATTGTGTGCCAATTGTTCTTCCACCTCTCTTTGACTTTCTTCTTCCCCTGTTCCTCCCTCGGATCGACTTTGACTTTGACTTTGACTTTGACTTGATTGCTCTGCCATCTCTCTATGACTTTCCTCTTTCCGTGGCTCATCCCTAGGTTGACTAAGTCCCAAGAATCCCGGATCCTTCTCCTCGACTGGACTTCCCTTTCCGCTTTGCCTTGGCCCCGTTTGCTCGCTGCTCGGTTCCTCTGTGCCTGCCTCTCCTTCTGGTTGTGTCGACTCCTCTTGCATCATCAAATACCTACTGGCAGTCGGTCCTGTCCCAATTGCTGAGGGTTTTATCTCAGCTGCCCGGTGACTGTGACCTTGGTCGTGTCTTTCACCATCGTCGGTCCTAAGCACATCAGTCCTTTCGGAGGGCTCGCTCTCCGAGTCAGATTCAATTTCATGCACCCATATCTCCTGGTTGCTCACTCTAAGGCCCGGGGCGGTGCTCGTTTCACCCCTCAACTCAGGCCAAAGCGTATCATCATTCACGAGGCTAGAACCCGCTGCAGCGGCTGGACCCTGTGTGTGTAGCCAAAGAGCCCTTTGCCTGCTCCAACCAGTTCTCAGATTCTTGCTTGAACAAGAAGATAGCCTTCTTTCACTAACCCCCGTCTCGCCAGGGGTATGATTATCCCCACCAGACTCTTCTCCTCTGCTTTCGCTGCCTCCACCACCTCCCTGTTTGCCTACGCGGCAGCGGCCTATGGTCCCCTTTGTGCCATTCCTTTTACCCTCCGGTACAGCGACTTCGTCTTTTCCACCCGAAAAAATCTCGATGGCCCTTCGTCTCGGAGTCTCCAGCGGTCTTTCTCGACTGAGACGTTGTGCACCCAACCTTCGCTCGGAGTCCTGCGGGACCGCCCCCACTATGACAGAAACTTGCTCTTTTCCAGCCTGTGGCAAGACTTCTGTTTCTCCAGCGGCCCCTCCTCTCCCAGTCCCTCTTCCTGTCCTAGACTTCGATGTCCTTCCTGGGCCACGCCGTTGCCTGCTCAAACCTTGCTCAGACTGCCGCTGCACCACCTTGTCCCGTGATGGGACGATACTTTCTGTTCCTCCTCTCCCTCGCCCCCTCCCTCTTCCAGTCGGCGATTTCGGCGGCCTCCCTGGGCCTCGTCGCTGTGGGCCTGAACTTTGCTCAGACCCTCGAACCCCCTCGTCCCGCTCGTTACGAGTTGTTGATAATGTTCGATCAGCTGACCCGCTCCCTCTTCCTATTGGAGACTTCAGTGGCCTTCCTTGGGCGTGCTGCCGACGGGCCAAAGTTCCCTTAGACTCCCTTTGGATCACCTCGCCCCGTGATTGAACAACACCTTGAAGTTCTGTTTGTCCGGTCCCTCGTCCTGTCCCTCCTCCAATTAGGGTTGTCCGCGGCCTTCCTCGGCCCCGACGCTGCTGGCCCAGGCCTTGCTCAGACTGCCCCGTAAGCCCTTCGTTTCGCGATTGGACGAAACCCTGCAACAATTGCCCCTTGCCAGCTGTAGGTCCTATACGGTCAGCTGACCGTGTTCTCCTCCTGTTGGAGTCGACATCCACTGGGACTGCTTCCTGCTTCGGTTCGACGGATCCCTGGTACGACAGCCTCCCTGCGGTCCTCAGCCTTGTACACGCCGCAGACCTGGTCTGCCTAGGAGAATCTACATCCACGCTGACACCCAAATGTACAAGCTGATTTTGCAGATCTCGCAGCTCGCTGCCTAAGAACCTGCGGCTTGACAGCGACTGCTCCCCTCGACTCCTCCTCTCTATCCCAGCAGCAGGCGCGCTGATCGCCCTTCGCTGCGCACCAATGGAGGAGCATACAGACCTCTGATTACCCCTAACCTCACTTGCTGATTGAGTAGCAACATGCACCGATCTTCCTGCGTCCCCCGACTCCCCTCCCCCTGAGATATCAATCTCATTGCTGTGTGACTGGGGAGTATCTGTCAGACTGATCCCCAACTCCCCCCTTTCTGGGGGACAGCTACACGACAAAGTCCCTTCATCGGAAATGTTTGATCGTCTTTGTCGTTTGCTCCTCCCCCTGGTCGGTGCTCGCCGTGTGTCAGACTTCCCCCGCATTCAACTCGTTGAAGAAAAGCAGATTTCTTAAGTCATTCAATCGGCAAGCTCAACTCCTCGTTCCACACCGAGGCTTCCTTGCATGCACCTGACCACAAACAGGTTCAGATTCAGTCAACGAGAGACCATGTTGTGCGAAACGACTTTGCCCCTCAGAACCCTCTTCAGAAGATTGCTAGTCCACCAAAAGGCAATCAGGTGCGAAATCAACGTGATTCGACCGCACACTCGCACACTCCCTATTGCATATTAGTTGACCAGGTGCAGGTCCACCTTCAGGAAAAAAAAAAAAAAAACACAAAACTATGGTAGTTTCCCCAAGAACTCCAGAGCGGAGGGAAAAAACTTCAAAAAAGTTTTAAAAAGTTGAAAAAAGTTGAAAAAAGTTCAAAAAAGTTGAAAAAAGTTGAAAAAAGTTGAAAAAAACGAGTTTAAAGAAACAAAGAAGTACATTCGAACCCACACTGGGACTTCCTTTCATGTACCTGACCAAAAACGAGTCCACATTCGGCGTACAATAGGCGAACTATTGGTGGTTTAACGCGCTGTGTCAAACGGCGGTCTAGGAAATTCGCATTCTCTTTACAGGCCCCCTACCTTAGTAGTTTACTAGACCCCTGTCATACGGGTACTTTGCGTGCTAGGTGTACGCGTTCTTTTTACAGGCCCCCGATAGGCGTACGCATTCTTTTTAACCGTAGTAGTTTACTAGACCCCTGTCGTGTGGGTACTTGGGGTTGCTACGCATACACGTTCTTTTTACAAGCCCCCTACACTATTAGGCGTACACATTCTTTTTACAGGCCCCCTACCGTACTAGTTTACTAGACCCCTGTCATAGGGGTACTTCGGGTGGTAGGCATACGCGTTCTTTTTACAGGCCCCCTATTGGCGTACACATTCTTCTTACAGTCCCCCTACCGTAGTAGTTTACTAGACCCCTGTCGTATGGGTACTTTGGGTGTTAGGTGTACGCATTCTTTTTACAGGCCCACTATAGGCGTTCGCATTCTTTTTCCAGCCCCCCTATAGGCGTTCACATTCTTTTTACAGGCCCCCTACCGTAGTACTTTACTAGACCTCTCTTCGCTTGCGTGTGGTTGTAATGCTGTTGTTCTAATTACGACTTAGAGGTTCTCGCCTATAACCAAGAGATGTAAGCCCCCCACCATCCACCCCTCTACCGTAGTCGTCCACTAGACCTCTTTATTAGCCCTTGTTCTTGTTTCAGTCACTTAATTAGTGGTGTTTATCATCTGGAGGACTTCTAGCCTCGGGCCCTTTGGGATCATTCGGTTCCCGGTGATCACACATTCCAATAGCGCCTTTTTTTTTTTTTGGGAAGAAAATCAAGTGAACTATTCCAGTTGTTGTTGTTGTTGTCGTTGTTGTGTCGTGTAGTCACCCAGTGCAGCTCCCGCCTCCGTTGCTCATCAGTAGATACATGGCCCCCGTCCTCTCCCATGATACCTCTGGTATCAACTGGGTTTGCTCTGGTCTATCTGCCATGGAAAGCACAGACAATCACTGCACTATAAATCCCCTCATCACCATCCCCCACCTGCGGCCCTACGCCCCCAATGCAAGGCCGTAAGGTAACCAAATCCTATGTGATCTACTTCACCAGGGTAGGCCTACCAAGTACCAGGCCCATGCCTGCCTGTTCCTATGGGTGTACTTGCCATCTCTATGCTCATGTGGCAAACTGTCATTGTCGAACAGTTCCTGTTCTTGGCTTGGCTGTCTTTGGCGCCTGGTCCTTGAGTTTTGTTTCACACCCCTCCCTCTCCTCCCTCTCCTCCCTTTCCCCCTCTCCCCTCCCTCCTCTGCTCTCCCTACCCCCCCTCCCCCCCCCCCCACCCCCCCCCCCCCCCTCCCCGGGGCAATTTCTATGATGGTTCCACGTGATTGGGCGACAATGTCGAGGACGAATGGTTCATTGTGTTTCTTCTTGTCGACATGTCCAAGAGCTTTGCCAGCGATTACCATTACCTTCTTCCCCCGAATACAACGTACGGTCATTATAGCTGTATTTGGGGCATCTTTCAGTCTAAATACAGCTATAATGACCGTACATTGTATTTGGGGGAAGAAGGTAGCATCAGAGACACCGATGGCCAGTTTCTCCTGATCGAGGCTGCCTACAGCATTCGAGAAACAGAATCATAATGGTTTAAAAACTTTGCGCAACAGATGTCAGATCTAATGCTACCGTCTTCCCCTGAACATAACGCACCCTGAAAATGAAAGTATACAAGCTATATTTCCGGTCTGGTACAGCCAAATTGAGGGTGCGTTGTGTTCGGGGGAAGACGGTAGCCTTGACGTCACATTTCTTCTCTGGCTTACCTTAAAGCCCAGCGTAAAAAAAAAAAAAAAAAAAAAAAAAACACACACAAAGAGAGAAAGAGAGAGGGACAAGAACAAGAGAGCGGAGCACGAGAGAGAGAGAGAGAGAGAGAGAGAGAGAGAGAGAGAGAGAGAGAGAGAGAGAGAGAGAGCTTTGTACCCACCTTGGCATGTATGGCTGATTGACTGGTTCGGGTGCGGCCGGATGCAGGGTAATGAAATTGTGTCCTGGACGTGGCTATTATTGCAGATGCTGGGTGGGCTGGGTACGGGTAGAAAAATTTTAAACCAGCCTGGGTGGGCTGAGTACGGGTAGAAAACATTTATGTCAGCCTGGATGGGCTGGGTCTAGGTAAAACTAAATGTGTTTAGAACATACTTGCGGCGCATCGGCCCTGTGCGCCGCGCAGCGCGGACCCGAGGTGCACGCGCACCAGCGCGCGCCGCGCACCTGGCTTTGCGGTGCGCGATGCGCTGCGCACAGGGGCGGTGCGCTACACGCGGGTGCGCTGGGCGTGCGCGCTGGCGGGCCGCATATGCGCCAGGTGCGCACATCATATATTTTTTATTTTTGATATGATACATCAAGGCTTATGCTTGGTCGGATATGGGTAGGAGGGAAAAAAAAAAATAGCGACCTCCGGTACAAAACACGAAGGAGCGCAATCATTCGGGCACTACGGCGCAGATGCTGTACTTATGAAGTGGAAGGAGCTAGACTTGATGGGCCGAAATTTACAGACTCAATTACACAACAAGTGCAGATTGACAAGGCTGTTCGCTTTATTATTTTGGGAAAACACGGGGGCGTTGTCACGGTTTCAGTTTGATCAAATGCATTTCAGTCACGATTCCACCACGAATGTTGTGTGTGTCAAACTGAGGAACATTGTGAACGTATACAAACCAGCTTTAGGGTCGGGTGGGGATGTGTTGTATTTGAGGGATGCCTGGACTGGATTTTAAAACTGAAATCTTGACTGCACCCTAGTTAATCCTCTTTTTCTAAACCGCAATCAGTATCAGCCA